ATTCAAAGAAATAGTGGTGTTTGTTTTAATATTAGATTTTAAGAACAAGCATCATTTCTCATATAAGTTAAGTAAATACAGCTGGAAACTGATAGAAAAATTAACAAGGTCATACTACTTTCTAATTCTTTAAATCTGGTACTTTCCTCCATATCTCAACTTCATCTGCTCTTCATCTCTTTTTAAAATCTCATTGAAAACCTAATTTCTCTCTTGCCTCTACTGCTCAATTATTTTCTCTCTTCTATTTATTAATTCAACTCTAAATAATATTGGAATGGAGGAAAAGTCGTATCTGACATCCTACATACCATGTCCACTTACTTCCATATGGAGGCGGGTTAAAATTTTTATGTGAAAACTGCCTGTGAGTTGCAAATTGAGTCTGCCAACAGCATGAAGTATTTTGTCAAAGGGATTTGGCTTTAGTTTAAATTTCATCAAAAAACAAGAAAGCGAAGAAACGTCAGCCAGTCCCTCGGTCCTACATCCTGCTCCAAAAGATATTCTCTGTTTGGAGATGCCATTGCAATGTCTTGGGATACTGCCTGGGTACATCTCATTGAAATCCCTTCTCTTTAGACAGGCTTCCTCAGCTAATTATATACTGTCTTGGGTGTAACAGAAAATATAATCCAGCTGGTGTATTTGGGCCTTATGGGAGAACTTAGACTTAATACAGTTGCTGATATGTATACAGCTTGGTATGCTTAATGCAGCTCTCAGGGAGCATTAATTTTTAATGATTAACTTTAAGTGTTTAGGTGGAAAAGGGGAGGAATAAGCATTTTCCAGCTCAGCTGCACAAGCTGAAGTGCAGCTGGTTACGGTTTATATCCAACGCGTACTGTGTTTCCTTTCATGGGAGGAAATTCCTCCAGAAGGACTCAGCTTCATTACAAGGCTGTAACAAGGCCATATCTTATCCCACTCCTCCATCTGACTCGAACATGCGACCTTTTTGGTGAGAGGTAAATAGGTTATGATGCCGTGAATCATTCAAAAAATAAAAGCTTTGGTTAGTGCCTGAGTAATAGTTATTAAAGTATAAAAGAAAATTTGATTACTATTAGCAAAGAAACTGAGATTATATTGGTATGTGGAGATTGATTGTTAAAGGGAAAGACAATACTGCCTATGAGAGATTTTTTCTTTTAAAAGTACTGGGCTGTTTGTGGAAAATATTAAAGGATTATAAAATAGAATGGAGAGATAACAAACTGCAGAATAGGGTGGACAACACATATCAACAGAGATAATTTGCAAATAGTAAATATCTATGAAGATGACAATGAAGGTCTATGAAGAAATGCTTTTCAGAATACAACTTAGATCTCTAAGGTCAAACACCTAATGGGTTTCTTGAGTGTTGCTGTAATGACTCACTTCTCGTCTAAGGTGACAAATGTTGCTAACTGTCTGTTCTTCAGAATGATTCATAATCTAGCAGAAATAGGATATTTCAACCAACAGGCCTCAACATACAGGATTATGATATTCTTTCTCTGATTATATCACATAACTATTCAAGCAATGGAAAACTTTTTCTCTTTACTATAACAAGAACTCACAGCATCTTGGACTGAATGTCTCGGAAATTTTGTTCTCCTCACAGGCCAAGTCAGCTCTCTAATTATGTTTTAGGTCAGCTTATGTTCACTGCAATTTTGCCTGAAAAGCTGCAAAACAAGGTGACCTCTTGTCAGCCAACCACATAAATATGTACCAGTTTATTCTTAAACAAGAAACTAAAAACCTGCACAATCAATATACAATTGGCTCACACTGAAGTTTGTTATTTTCTCAAGATTTTCATTTAGACACAGATAGAAAGCCAAATATTTGGCAAAATTAATATTTTGTTAAGTTATTAATCTGAGTACTTTGCAGCAATTCACTGAAGAAATTAAGATAATGTGGAAGAAGGTGCTTTGAAGCAGACAAATTACTGAGCTGCTTTATTATATTTATAAATTAATGTACGTGTTCCATGCTTGTAGCTTACTGGTAGCCTTGTATAACTTTCCTTCTCCACTTCTGTATTATTTGTCAGTCTTTCTCAGAAGATGTAAATATTTATCACAGAGAGGGCTCGATTTTTCAACAGGTCTCTGTGTGCAACTTGCATTGCACAAGAGTGCAAATATGTTTCTTACATATTCAGCACAGTCTAGCCTCTTTTCCTTG